GCGGACAGTCGTATGCACCAGGTTGTGGTCAGAGTCCTTGAAATCGACACGTTTGACGGAGGCATTACGTACGAGACGCCGGTCCGTCTGTCGCATGAGGATGAAGTCGAGGCTCTGTGTATCGTGGTGAAACAATCGTGTTTAGGTTCACTTTCAAGGGAAACGGAGTTTCTATTCGATCGATCGAGCACTGCGTAGCTACAATACACGTTGTTGTTCCTCGAAAATAGGAGGTGCGTATACCGGCGCGTTTGGATTTCTTGCATGCGTCACATCACCACCGTGTCAGATGGACCCCCGCGCTGCTCAACTTCCAGCAAGAGACAGAAAATCCACCTTCTGCTGCTTCTCCTGCTCTCACTTGTTGGCTGCTGGTGCCCACGGGGCTGTGCTTATGGGCTGTCTACTCTGGGCATACGCACAAATCCACGAAGCAGGGAGCAGGGACAGGGGACCAGAGGGAACCAACAAGAACCCAGCTGCGAAGAACCATCATTTTGGGGTTTCGAAAAAATGCAACGTGTTTGGGTTCTGTTTCACGGTTCGAGTTGTACAGAAATCCGACCGTTCTCATTTTTGTGTTCATTTTTTTTTTTTTCCATCATTAGACTTTGTCGTCTGCCGCTCTGGCCCCTATCCTCCACTTCTACCAGCTGGACGACCCAACCGGGGCCACATAGGAGGGGGGGGGTTGGACCCCCTCCTGCAGTTCCTGCCTGAGATATTTTTATCGCGAGCAGGGTACAGCAATCCCTTCCCTCCCGACTTATGAAGTCGATCAAGTTTACTAACAACGAGCTTTGCAGCGCGTCGCTTCCAACGGAGACCAGGATTAAATTAGCGAGAAAAAACTCACTCTGCCGGGACTCAAAGCCATGACCTGACCCTTAGCAGGCTGCGAGGCTATCCACTAGACCACCGGGGCGACCGGTGTTTGTACGCAGGCAAGTTGGCATGCGTGATCAAAAAGAGCCCTCGGCGAAGGTTGGCGAACGACACAGAATGTTGTTTGGGTGCCGACAACTTTGACCGCACCGAGTGTGTTTTTATTATTATTATAGACTATGGATAGACCGCGCTAAACAGGCAAAAGAAAAAACGTTGGGCTAGAAAAGAACTTCCCAGAGATTCTTGTCAAAACNGCGCTTGGTGATGTGAGAGCCTGGTCCGGTGAGAACCCGGCGTGCTCCGTCCCGGCTTTGTAGGGATGCGAGGTCAATGGTCAAACGACTACGGCATGCACGACTATGAGTACACCTCCCCCCGTGCTGCCCCCTCACAGGGTCCCAGTTCATGGCAGATAGATGTGTTTTGTGTTGTCAACCGCACTTCGACCGTATATATGTGTGTGTGTTTTGACCGACCTCCCTCGCTATCTCTCCCTCACGGATGTGTTGACATTCGACAAAGACGCGGGCTACATGTACTTCTGTACACCTTGAAGTCATTCGACTGCTGTGTGTCAGTCGACGTTCACAGAGACGGTCGCACTACTGCAGTACCAGGTCCTGCACGATGAACAAGGCCGCTCTCGCGTGCTCGATAGAGTCATTTGCCTTCTTCGAGGTGGGTGTCGCGTGCTCATTCCTGCTGGCCAGGCTCGTGGACTCCTCTCGCAGCTCGGCGGAGGAGTGGATCTACTCCGAGAAGTCGAGTTTCTCCGCAGAGAGAACCCTGAGCTTCATCAATGTCACAGACCCCGACGACTTTGACACCCTGTCCGACAAGCAGGCGAGCAAGGAACAAATATCTCAGGTGGTACTGATCAGAAGGGTAGACCCGTCCCTCTTAGACTCCGTGACCAGCGAGTTGAGCGGGATGTACAACGCGACCATCGTCCCGAAATACATCACGGACCGGGACGTGGAGGGCGATCTCTACGTCGTGGAGTACGTACTTCCGAGGAATGAACTCGTCCTCGGTTTGGTGATAAATTCCGAGGAGTCCAGGGCGGACGCGATAGACACGGCGGTGCAGTCGGGGGAGGCCACCTTCCTGGACAACGTCGTCCTGGCAGACACGGGAGAGCCAGGGAGGGTGGGTTTCTACCCCATAATCTCCAGCTGGCCATCGCCCTCTAACAATAGAACGCTCGCCATGGCAATAAGATGCAACGCCTTGTTCGAACGCTTCGTGGCGGAGTTGGAGTCGACGTTCCCCGGCATAACATGCAGATAGATACAAAAGATGGCTACCAAACTGCCTTGTTGAGCCTGTTACCCACAGGGGAGATATCGTTGTATGCTGTCCGGGAATCCGTAGACATACAGGTAGCCTTTCGCTCACGCTATGGATTGATTGCTAATCTATCTTGGACTTATTCTATAGGTAGAGATGGATTTGTTGTGTGATATTACATGGGTCCCACGTGTGTCAGGAATTTTGACACGAGCACGAAATTT